CGAAACCGAAAAAAAACACAGGGAACGGACGTCCGAGCGATGGCCAGCTCCTCGATCAGGAGGAGGAGGACCAGGGGCGAAAGAGAGAAACTTGGCTACCGCGATACGCCCGTGTTTCAAAAGCAGCACGTACCGTGTTCAAGGCGTGCGTGTTAGACCGCTGCGTGTTGGCTCCACGTGTTGGCCCGCGTTTGGGCGAACGTATCGCGTTACACGTACAGCGCCAATCTCCGCTTTGAGCTCCGCGTCAACACGCCACGGGCTGCGTGTTGCGTATCGGGGCGGCCAAGGACAGAAAGGCGTACGTGCACTTGAGTGCTCGTGGGTTTCGAAAGTATGCGCAGCGCGAACAGTCGTCACGCGAGGCTGGCCTCGCGAACTGGGGGGCCGGATCCGCACATGCCTGGGCGCGTGCGTCTTGAGACGGGCTCCCGGAGCTCCCTAGAGGAGGAGGAGCGGCGGCGCGGGGACTGGGAAGGTCGGGGCAAACGGCAAACGGAAAGGGGGGCCTGAGAACGGGTGGGGGGGGTGTGGGGGGGGGGGGTACGGAAATTGCGGCGTGCAGCCGGTGTTCGGCGCCGCCGCTGGGCGCTTTCCCGGATACGTGGCCGGCCCTGGCGCCGGGAGGCGGCGGGGAAGCCAGCTGTGCAAGCTGATTCGCTAACCCACCGTTTGCTATCTCCCCCGTTGGTCCACCCCGAGGAGGGATGTGGAAGGGGAGGAGGTCATGCAGCAGTTCCCAGGCCACGACTGCTGCAGGGGCTTCAATGCTTGCCGATGGCCGGGGGGTGCAGAGCGGACCAAGCCATGATTCGGCCTGCGCTTACGCGAGCAGCTTACGCGTTAATGTTGGCGCAATGGTGCCCGTTTCTTGCGTTGCTCGAATTGTCTCAGAGCGTTTTCGGCTGTAGGGGTGTAGGCGGGAGGCTCCGAGGGAGGAGGAGGAGGAGGAGGAGGAGGAGGAGGAGGAGGAGAAGAAGGTCGGATGACAGTTGGAGCTGAGGGAGAGCCCACACGGTTTCTGTCACGCCTGGGGCGCCCCCCGTGCCTTGGCATCGCTCGGACGTGTGCATTGTTCCTCTGGCGAGGACCATCGAGGAGCATCCTTGATCATTTGGCGAAAAAAGCCACGCACGAAACCGCAAAAAGCACAGGGAATGGACGTCCGAGGGATGCCCAGTTGCACATTCAGGACATTTGGCCCTATGCCAGAGGAGTTGCGCGCGGGGAGGGAGGGCTGAGCCGGAGCTCGAGGCGGCGTGGGCATCCGTTCTTGCCTCATACCCGCGAGGACATTATCAGCAGCTTCCCGTATACACGGATCACGGGAGTGTTGAATTTCTGGATGTTGATTCTCCCAATCGCGGCAGGCGTTCTCATGAGTCTGTCGCCCGCTTGCCGAAATTGGTCCTCCGCTTTGGCGTCGCCATGTGGACTCCTTGCTCTTTGCGGCAGCAGCTGATTCGACTTGACTTACAAGCTCCCAGAGATGATCCATAATATTGCATACTTCAGTTTAGTGGAAGATCCCGAGATATTCCCGGGTGTTCAGGTATTCTGGGGTCTCCCACATTGAAGGTATGACCGGATGTTCCTTGAGTTTCCCCCATCGGAGCCACAACCCTTGCCGTGCTAGGCCCAATAATTCTCTAGGTGTTCGGACAAGAGCGCGAGAGAGCGGCAGAATGAGAGAGAGAGAAAGAGAGAGAGAGAGAGAGAGAAAAAAAAAAGGCAGGTGCAAACAGAAAAGCAAGAGAGAGAGCGAGCGAGAGGAGGCGGCATGTCGAGACGGACGGACGGACGGACGGAGACGGACAGAGGTCTCCTGTCGCCGTCCGCTCAAAATCGTTGGCCAGACCCGCCCCTGGGTCCACTCATGGCTGGTTTTTCATCCCAGATCGGTTCGCGACGGTCCCAACGGTCCAAGCGGGTCCAGCGTGAGGGCGACATTGAGGACCAATGTTCGGCGAGGTGGAGGAGGATGAAGAGGAGGAGGAGGAAGAGGAGGAGGAGGAGGAGGAGGAGGAGCTGCACGAGGAGGAGGAGGAGGAGAAGGATGAAGAGGAGGAGGAGGAGGAGGACCAGAGCAAACCCAAGAGCCATCAACGATGTTTGAATACACCCACCCTCCGAGCTCCCTCTTCATAGGCCCTTACAACGGTTCATTTCCATTGAGGGGACTGCCTCATTGGAAGAACCGCTTGAAGACCCTGAAGCATGCCAAAACATTGTTCTCGGGATTCCAACGCCACGTATCAACCTGGCTGTTGCATATTGACGATCCCGGATCGTGCCGGAATGCCATTCCTGGGATTTCAACACCGCGACTCAACGTAACTGTTGCACTCGCAAAATCCTGAATCCTTCCACAACAATTTCTGGTACGTTGACCATGGGGATCCGTAAAACCTTTGCAAACATTATATGCGAATGTGCGCGGCGCTAATGCGAGAACCACATTTTGAACAGGAGCCGCACTCAATCCGTGAAATCATTGCTGCAAACTTTTTGAATCGAATGTGCGCGGCGTTAAGGCGAGAGGCACATTTTGAAAACGGGTTGTCCTGAATCCGTGAAGCTCTTGCAAACTTTGAAAACGAATAACCCGTCCCCGGAGGCCGGCCATGCGTAGCGGCTGCGGGGAGCCCGACCGGAGTGGCGGAGGCCGGCCAATCTTGGTTGCTGCTGCTGACCTGCTCTCCGGGCCGAGGGGCTCGAGGGCCGATGGCCTGGGTCACCGAGCCGAGGGGGCTCGAGGGTCGGTGGCCTGATTGCGGCATCTCCGGGCATAGGCTCGAGAGCCGTTGGCCTGCGCTGTCAGCGCGGTGCCTCGCGCGACGTTGCACGCAGCGGTGCGGCGCGCCAGCGCTCGGAAGAAATGATCCGCGCGCGCTCGCTGTGCTAAATGTGTGAGGTGGGCGCATGCGAACGCTGGCATGTGGGCTTTCAGTGGGGCTCCCTAGGGGGCCACGAAACGTGTGAGAGGTGTGCCAAAATGGGCTCCCTAGGGGGCCACGAAACATGTGAACAGTGTGCCAATGGGTGCGGTGATCGCATGCGAACGCTGGCATGTGGGCCTTTTCGGTGGGGCTCCCTAGGGGGCCACGAAACGTGTGAGGGGTGTGCCAAAGTTGGTGCGGTGGGCGCATGCGCACGCTGGCATTTGGGCCTTCGGTGGGGCTCTCTATGGGGCCACGAAACGTGTGAGGGGTGTGCCAAAATGTGTGCGGTGACCGCATGCGAACCTTGGCATGTGGGCCTTTCGGTGGGACTCCCTGGGCGGGGGCACGACATGTGTGCAGGGTGTGCCTGAATGGGTGCGCTGACCGCATGCGAACGCTGGCACGTGGGCCTTCGGTGGGGCTGCCTGTGGGGCCGCGAAACGCGTGAGTGGTGTGCCAAAATGGGTGCGGTGGCCGCGTGCGAACGCTGGGATGTGCGCCGTCGGTGGGGCTGCCTATGGGGTCACGAAACGCGTGAGGGGTGTGCCAAAGTAGGGGGTTTGATGGGAGGAGTGAGGCGGAGGGGGAGGAGGAGAGGAGAGAAGAGGCGAAGAACGCGGTGACCGTCTCCTCAAAACGAGGACCCAACACCACAGGATGGTTGGACAAATCCCACCCCTTTTGTTGGCGTTTTGTTTGTTCCCCCCCAAGAGGCGCCACAGGAGAAGTGCGCATCACTGCCGTCCACGAGGGGGTGGAGGGGGGAGGGGAGTTCCGTCCCTTCTCTTCCGCCTCCTCCTGTCCCTTACTCAGTCTCCTTCTATGCCTCAGCACTCCCCTGGTCGTCCCCTCCTCCTTCGCCTTTCCCCTCCTCGTCGCTCTCTCCTCCTTCGCCTCTCCCTTCCTCTTCCCCTTCCTTTCCGCGCCCCCCGAAAAACTGCCACCCCAGAATCCACCGCCCGCCCGAAGAGGCGCCTATAAACTCTCAAGAGCGCCCCAAGAGGCCTTCGAACGCCCCACGAGGTCTGTGGAACCTTAGTGCGTACACGCACTCACACACATACACACACACACACGCGCGCGCACTCTCGCACAAAACCCAGCACGCCTGCAACAGCTCTCCCAGGAGGATCTCATTAAGGCCTTCAAAGGATTCCCAACATGCCCAGGGACAGTCCGAGGCGGTCCCTGCAGGCCCCAGGGTAGCCCCGACAGTTCACAAGGATTCCCTGCATCTTGAATTTCTGTTCGTGCTCATTGCCGCCCGTTGCAGCTTTCCCATCCGATCCCCCTCAAAGAACGCATCGAATAGCGGCAGTCCGGTCCTTCCCCTCTACCGTGGCCCACATCAGCTCTGATTCTCTTGATCCGTCGTGCGTGCTGAAGATCGTGAAGTGCCTCGGGAGACCTCTTTTGGTGGGAGATTTGGGTGAGGGAAATCAGACCCCCGATGCATGCTCAAATATTTGTTGCTGGTACTGTTGGGGTATCGCCCTGTTTGTGGCCTCTGGGGGGACCCTCGTCGCCACAGCCAGTCTGCATTGAAGTTCTGGTCAGGGCGCGCCCCTCGACAGATCTGGTGACGGATTTGTCATGTCACTGCGGAAGACGTGGAGGAGGAGGGCGACGAGAGAGGAGGAGGAGGAGGAGGAGGAGGAGGAGCAGGAGGAGGAGGAGGAGGAGGAGGAGGGGACGCAGCGAAAGGCCAAGGAGTTAAGGAGCCTAGGGTTTTACCATATTCGGTGCACCGCACGGGTACAGCGCGGTGGAGAGTGGGAAGCGCGGAAGCAGCCAGGCCAGCTCGTGGATGACGAAGGGAGCACCAGAGCAGAACGTAGGCGGGAGGGTGGCGCGTGGTTCTGTCGTGGAGATAGCGGCAGCACATGAGCGACAGTGATTCCCTCTGCTGCGAAGAGAGTTTTCACTTCTCGACCCCCTTCAGAAGTCCCCTTTCAATGGATCAACATTGCTGGTGGTGGCAATCTGGTTGAGAGGACGCGCATGCACGCTTGGCGCTTCCGCTCAGCTAGAGACGCGCGTTGACCATGGGTCAGCCAGGCGGGCACACTTCCAGTTCTCCCAGAAGTGGTCGACCATCCACCTCG